TCAAATTATCTGCGCTATCGGTGAGCAATTTCGGTTCGAATTAATCACTTTATTTGCACGAAATCCGGTTGGCCAAAAAGGCTTCGAGTTACAGAGGAAAACCCAAATCGTGGAAAAAATGCATTTGCATCGCCAACGCAAAGTGCATTAATACATTGATCCAGTTTTGGACTGAGTTTTTTTTCCCCGATTTTATTTGCAACTTGTAGGTGGCCGTGTTTTGACTGTTTACCACTTGTTCAATGGACTCTGTGAAGTTGGCCGCTTTTTGGATACCCATCCGATTTCGTGCCAACCCAAATTTTTCCAACTCCGCGAAACGCATGTCTGGGCCCACAGATTTACGACTCAAATGACCATGAACGTGTCGGTATGGAAATGTCTATATAGACGAGTAAGTATCTGGTAAAATTATCGCTTTGCTATGCGAACCGCAAAGCCAAACCGAATGCAAAGAAAACTCTACTAAAAGTGCAGTAAATGCACTGAAGTAAAATTTCTTTATGCACAGAAAGAAAATTTAATATGAGATAGGGATAAATTCTTCTTATTTCATATCAAGGTATGTTTCATATCAGTTATTTCAAAGAAATTATAAATGTACTATTTCGAAATACCAAAATTAGTATTTTTTTGTAAATGTAAAATAAGATAATTATGATCTTTACTCAATATGATATAAATTTACAATATTTACATTTACAATAAATATCAAAATATTTTAAGAAATAAATACGTTATTAAAATTATATCTCAGATAGATATCGCCTTTATCCTAAAAATATGCTCACAAATTTAATTACCTTTAAAAAGGAAATAAGTAACAAAGTAAATGGAATCATATTAAATGAGAGTTATAGTATCGTATTACTCATACGCCCCATTTTCCCTTGCAGCCTTCACTTTTAATTCACTGCCAAAAATATGGTTATGTTTCGAGTGGTTTCTGTGCCACCGGGCAGAGCTTGAATATCTGCTGGTCGGACCTGAATGTGAATCGACCTGGGTGAAAATGAATTGCCCGTAAAAATGATTGTAAAACAACGCCAATAACCACGGCAGCAACAGCCGCCGAGAACTGCGTGCAAAATGTCATTAATCATTGTAATTTATATAGCGGGGCCAGCTTCATAAACCATCGACATCGACGTCTTCGGGGGCCGTTTACAAAATGTTTGCGGTCTTACGAATTTACGCATAATTTAACATTGTCCCATTGACAATATAGGGGTAATGGACATATCAACGATGTTATTTTTATTGACCAACTTATATGGCCTAGACCTTTTTATGTAACCGACAAGTGGAGAGGAGACCAAAGACCACAGACCAGAGACCAAAACAGTTCATTGCCACCTGGCTAAAAATAAAGAAGTCAGCAGAAGCCGAAAAGTCGAGCGGCTGCCGGAAAAACATTTGCAGAGGAAGAGATTTTCCATCCGAAAATCTAACCCACGCCAACTTGCTGGTAAATCCATTTGACATATTGCGTCGTTCGCTCGCCCATTCGCCATCCCGCTTGCTCCCCCGAGAAACTATGGGACATAATCTTATCTAAAACAAAACACTTTCGCGGTATTTTCAAGTCCCCATGTTGGCCGGCGCATAAATCAGCACCACTACCGGCACTACCGGCACCACCGCTGCCATCGCTGACTGATGATGAGCCACATCGCTGACAATAGCTTGTCAAGTGTTGTCTCCTCATCTTCCCGCCACCCACTCACTTACACGCGGATATATCCACCGAAAGTCGGATTTCCAAAAGATTTTCATCCACCGGTGGATGGAAAAGTCTACCGTAGATAAATAAATTCATATTTAGCAGAAATCAACTTTAAAATTTTTATAATCATATATTATTTAAATTGGAATGCCACTCATTTCAATATCTCTCGAGTTTATTTACTTAAATCTTTATAAAATGTTAATGGAGAATTTCTAAATTAAATCTTTCAGATTCTAAAATTTAAAATGTTTTTAAATGTGTAGAGTATTTAAAATTCTGTTTGATTTTCCCCCCATATAAACATCTTCCAATTCCCCTACAACTTTGTCCAAGCAGAAAAATTCCAACAATAAATGTTTGGCCGCCGTCTAGCCAGAAAAAAAACGAGATCGCTCAATAGATTGCTTTGGATCGGATCCGTGACGTAGCCAGGGGCAAAATGTTTGTGTAAAATTAATTTATCGTATTATGTGCCGAAAGTGATATAATAGTCCGGCCATTTGGTATGCTTAGGAATTAGCGGTGTTGAAACTTCCTTTATTCTTTTTATGCCTGATTGCCGTGCCGAATCTATTTATCATGATCTCGGGGGATTAAAATTGATGCAATTATCTAAATTTACGAAAATTCTAAGCAAGACATAAAAAACTCTGGAAAGTTGGAATGGCATCTTAATCGAGAAATGCGTTGTAAACTAGACCAATTTTAACGAGTTCACTTTCCCAAAAAATATTCCAACAAAGCCAGCGTTTGTTGACTTTTTACGCACTAAAAATTTAACAAAGACATTTTTTCAAGTTTCTAGAACACCCGCCACTTTCAAAGGCTTGGCCCGGAAAAAAACCTCATAAATAAATAATAACATAGAAGGTTTAGTATTTAAAAAGACAATTAACATGCCGGAGTCGAGAGGCGAGTGACAGTGAAAGTAACTGCAGTTGGATCGATGCAATGTTGGCCAAACTGTCGGAGCAACTTCATCAACTTCACAGGCCGCGAAAGACGTGCCGTAAATTAAGTTATCAAAAGATGCTGTCGGAAGCTTTTAGCATCCACCGGCTCCAGTTTTTCAGTTTCTTTCTGGGATTTCGGGCGACTTGACTTGACTTGAGCTTCAGCTTCACTCAACTTCACACCTCGCTCCACGCACTAAATCAGTCGCATAATTGCCGTCTGCCCGCCGGGCCAAGTACTCTCCATATATCATCTCAAAAATATGGTATGCACGCCCCCAGTGCAGAGGTATATTTTTGTATCTTCCAGCCCGGACCTGGGTTCGGATCGGGCTGGGGTTCAGTTCAGGTTCAGTGAGGGTATATAGTCTGCTTCGAACACCGTTAGTCGCCGCTGCAATTTGCGGGAAACTGCCACTGCAACTGGCGTTGAGCTTCACCCGACTTTTGGAGGTCAACTGGTTGATGAGCCTCGCGAAATGCCACTGAAGATGCAAGCTGACGGAGTGGAAAATGCTCAAAATTTGGCCGTCTTCATTTTGTTTGGACAGCTTTATTTCGATGCAGTTGTCGCTGTCTGTCGACATTTTCCAGCGATTTATGAAGTGTAAGAAAGGGACAAATGTAACCAAAATAATTAAAGTTTGTATTTCAGACAAAAAAAATTTTCAGTACTTTTATATGCACAATTATTCGTAGAACTTATAAAGATAAAATAATCTGTTTAAATCTTTAAGCAAAAATGATTCATTTTGCTATATCACCTTCTGATCTTTTTGTCAACTTAAAAATCCCTCTAATGTCGTAAAAACTTTTAAAAATTCTCATTATCTTACATTATCCAACAATATAAAGTGCGAAAGATAGGCGATAAAGCTTTACCACTCCAACAGAAGTTTAGCACAATATCCGGAACGTGATTTTTGGTGCACTTTGTACAATTTACAGCCCATAAAAGACTCACTCAGTCACTAATAAACACAAATTGCTTTGTTAGTTGCCACTGATTTGGCCTGTGAAAGTCCCAAGTTTGAGGGTGAGAGTACCCGAAAAGTGGGCAGTGGGAGGGTTGACTATAAAAATCTCTACCAACACCCGACACCCACTATCGAATCACAACCGCACGCACTCCATCAGAGGAGTCTTATAAAAAGCTCTTTTATACGGCAATTTCAATCTTATCGCACTCCACTCGCATTATCGCCGCCTGATCGAGTCCAAAATCAAATTAACACCTGAGGCCCAGGCAGCCCCGTGAGACATGTATGTAAAGTAAAAACAGTACCCCGGCGAAACAAAATCCCCGCTATCTATGCGGCATCTGGAGAGCTCACGATGTTTGTTCCTCAATGGCGATGATGCACTCGCCCGATAAGAAAATAAAAACCGGACCCAAGTTGTACAACAAGTTTTTCGGTGGCTTTATTATCAGTGCTGCAAATTGCTGGCCAACTGGAGGGAAGGAAGTCAATGAAAATGAAGCTGTAAATTAATTCGACTGGGGCAACAAAAAAGTTATGCAAATGCTGCTGCTGCTTCATGATGATCTTCATCTTCATCAGACTAAATTCATCTGACTCATTCATTTCCCACAGGGAGCCCGGCTAATCAGGGCGAGCGGTTAATTAAGGCAAGATTTATGCCCTTAGCCCACTAAAGAATTTATATGCCAAATAATACAATGCTCAGGCCGCAGCATTGCCAAATCAAGTGTCTAACTTAATGATGCCCAACATAAACAGACGAGAGCCGCGGAAAATACGATTTCTTTGGCGGATCTCAGTGCGTGTGTTACGCAGCATTTTATGAGAACTTTCAACTTGTGCTGGGTGCTCTATATAGGTGGAGGATCGGATATATATACATCCCTGTGCTGGTGTGCGTGGGCGTGTATTATTTCTGATATTCTAAATATTTCATATGGCCATAGGCATTAGTTTATTTGGTTGTTTATGCAGTCCAAGTGGAATGGGTGGTTCGGGTTGGAAAAAAAACAACCAAACAAGAGAACACCCAAAGAAATTGAACATAAAACATATTCAAAGCGAACCAAAAAGAAATAAGTGAGTAATGAGGGGGTGGGAGGCGTTTACTTTGAAGTTCATAATAGGTGGGGAGTGGCACCAAAACAAATAACATCATTCAGAAATGGAGACATATGATTTTAAGATGATCCCTAATATAGAAAAATATTTACATATTTTTGGAAACAAAAAACAACTTGGGAATTATAAGAATATGGTGGGAAAAATACTACAAATACCAAAAAATACTAAAAGTAATCATTTTAAAATTAGCATATTTTCAAGATTACTTACTGAATTCACTATTCTCGTCCTGTGTCCCGTTGACAATGCCATCTCGCATTATCTGAAGGATGCGATTTTTGATGTACAACTGGATCTTGCGGGATGTCCAGGCCAAATGGGACTGGGGCACCGTGGAGCGCTCGTTGCGGTCCAGATTGCTGATGGGAGTGTTGCTACTGCTACTGCTATTTATGTTTAGATTACTTCTAGGGTTGCTCAGTCTTTTCGATTTCGAACCAATGAAATTATTGTCAGCGGGCGACTGTTGATGATGATGATTTTGTGGGTGGTGGTGCTTCTTCTGCTGCTGCTGCTGATGGTGATGCTGCTGATTCTGGTGACGAATGCTGCGTTCGGTACGCGACAAAACGGCGAGGTGCTCTTTCGGCACCGCTGAGATGACGAAACCCAGCGGCTCCTCCAGCTGATCGGAGTCCTCCTCCTGGGATCGCGATTGGTATTGTGGTGTCCTTAGGCTCTGATTAAATTCAGCATTAATACTTTGATTTGCGGTTGTTTGATTTACACTACGTTCACTCACTGCGCTCGGCACTAAACTACTACGACTATGATCACTTTGTAGATAACTATTACTAAACAGATTGCTATTGTTCGTGCCGCTGGATGTGCTGGATTTGAATGTGGATATAGAGCTGGTTATGGATAGAGAAGAGTCTGTCGAGTTATCCATGGCCATGAGGGGCATCGCAAAGACAAGGCCCGGCCAGGCGATGATGAACGAGAGGAGGGCGCCCAGCAGCGCCAGGGCCCTCCAGTCCAGGCGCAGGTTTCTTCGCATCAAAGATCACCACTTTCGGTTCGCAGGGGTTTTTCGAGCCGTTGTTTTCCGCCCGAATCCGAATGTTTATAATTTTTGAGCAAGTCTTCGCTCTTGTATCCGCTGTTGTTTATAGTTTGTTTGCCAGTTTATTGGGCCTTCGACTTCGCCACGCCCTCGAATGTCGTTGAAACATATGAACGCCCCGTTTAAGAAATCTTTTACTTTCGTTTCGATTGGGTTTACTTTTTTCACTGACTTTGCTTTGTATGTAAGAGTCTCTCTCTTTTGTTAAAACCTTTTTTTCGCCTTTTTCCTGGCAGGAAATTAGGTTATCATATCGTAGACTTGTTCAACACTTTTCAATTGCTGCTGTTGCTGTTGCGGATCTTCATCTTCGTCTTCCCCGCTGATAATGCATCTTATCAACGCCAACGACTTTTTTGTCATGTCAGATATTCCCGCGATACAATTTTTGGGGAGCGAGGAATGAAGCAATCTCAGCCTGTTGTTTATTTGGCCAAACTTGGATTGGCTAACATAGTTGAAGAGCTGCAATGAGAAGAGATGTGGGGTGAGAATTTAGTTGATTATGCTTGACATGAAGACTTATCATTAAGTAAGAGATTATAATTATCACGTGACATTCACTTGCGCAGAATACAAATTTATGGCATCTTTGAATTGGCTTTGAAAATTCCATAGCGAACATTTGCAGCACAAATTCGGACTAAGCCAAATTGTACATAAATTCTTCAGCTAAGCGTTTTTAACGCAATTTTTGACATTTTAATTAGCGTTCGGCTATATAAAGAGACAACAACGACAGACGACAAAGTGGCACATTTTATTTTTAGCCAACGGTCCATCAACAATTGTGTCTATAAGAGCCGACAACTGATCGGCAAGAGGTTACATAAAAACTTTTGCCCAAAGGGAGCAGTTACGCAAAGGAAAAACTCGGTGAAAACATCGAAAATGACTTTCCCAAACGGAGAGAGGAAGATAGAGAGAAATGGAGAGGGAAAGCCCCTCAAGACTGGTGGACAGGCAAATTGTTTAAAAATAAAATAGGCAACAAAAACAATTCGCGCAGAAAACTGTGTCGAATTTGAAAATAATCACGCACTAACTGCGCCGGCAGAGTATCTATGTAAGTACAAGTGTATCTATAAGATATTCGCAGGGCAACGGGGCGGCTGAGTGACGTTGCCGCTGCACTTCCACTCACTCGGCTTCGCTGTCTTTTTGGCACGTGTTCAGCAAGCCTACGCAGAAGCATTTTTTATGCAACATTTAAGTGCACCCCGTTTTAATTACCATAAACAACAAAAACAGCAGGAAGAGCCACAAATCCAATTGGCGACAAAACACAGAGACAACTTGAACGAAAAAAATTAGAAAAACACACGACTTCTGTGCCATCAAAATGTTAATTGCTTTTGCGTCCTTCTGTCCAAACTGCCGGCAAAGTTATGCAATGCGTTGACTTTGAGATGAATTTATGATATACTTAGTTTGTTACGAAAACCCTAAACCCTCCAGATCGTAAAAACGGCATTTGCATGCCAGCTGCCGACGAAATCCGATGAATCAGAGAAACCCAATATTATATGTGTAATATAAAAATCAGCGAAATTCTTCGAGTTTTCATCATCCTTCAGCAGATCAAGAAATATTTTTGCCACTCTCGGGTTTAATGCCTTTCACCCAAATACGAGTGTGTATAAAAAATATATGTGTGCCACAGCAGGCAAAATGTGTGCCAAGCCAGCCGCAGATTCGGTCTCAAGGCGTTGTTTATATAAGTTGTTTTTTCAGTAGTAGAATTTATGTAGAATTCTGTAAGGGCAACAAAAATTCCAGCCTCAGCGACCACATCAACAAAAGCGCCGAAAAAAAAAAGAAGATAAAACCCCCAAAAGGGAAGCGTGTCTTGACACATGCCGAAAGTAGTAAAAATAGCCCTGGACAACTAAAAAGAAATACCTAAAAATGTGGATGGTATATAAAAATTACACCTATGGTTGGCAGGGCCAAAAATACAAATGTATCTGCTTTTTACGACCTGAGCCCATCGGCTCGTATGTCATTCATAAGCCTCCACAATTCAACAAATTATGAGGAGCATAAAAAAATAATGAAATCTTTTATGCGTTTAATTCCCCAAAAGGCAATATACATATAATCGAACGCAATATTTAATCAGAGCCCAAACTTGATTACGGTGATTGTTCTTGCAAATTGCTGCCCTGAAAAACGAAAGCGAAAGTCCAATCACTGATCACTGAACTCCTAAATTTACGAGTACGGGAAATCCAAAGAACTTAACACTTGTCGTACGGGCAAATGCGGTTCCGTTATAAAACTTGAAATTTACTTAACCCAAATTTAAGTGGCAATCTTCGGTGGCAGTCATCTAATCAAATTAATGTCCAAAGCACAAAAAAACCGCGACAACCAATGCCCAAAAAAACTCAAAGAAAATGTATAATAATGAATGGCCAGAGACGTGTGGCGGCATCTTTGGTCAGCGAATGAATTAATTTTATAATAAAATAATCTTGAATACTGTACAATGGGTGAAAATGAGAAGTTTCAGCGTTTTTTTTTTGTCGAAAAATAAAATAAAATGTATACAAATTTTTAGAAATGTTAAACCAAAAGTATAAATAAAATATTTGGAGTAGGTATAAGTCTGTAAGTTAAAGAAAATAAATTCTTTTAATAAAAATAGGTTAAAAAATTTAATTAAAAAATTTTTAAAAACACCTAAAATTTACACGCGGATAAAAAAATCTCAAAAAAAATTATGGCTAAATGGTATGTATTTGCCGTAAGAAAATCTTAAATATTTCCCAAAAGCAGACCATTGTCCGAAATGAATGGCACCTTCCCTGATACATTAAAAAATATAATCTGTGCAGCTTGTCGCCGCCAACAGCTTGACAACAAGTCAGCAAAGTCGCAAAGCAAAAACGCCCAGAAAAATATTTAAATTAGTGTCTCTTGCTTTGAGTTTGCATGATGGTTTTGGGAAGCCACTGAAACCGAAGCCTAGGCCTAGTCATTGAACTGAAATGGCAGTCGCTCCACAAACTGATTAGTAAGTTTCGTTATACTTTGTTTTGCTTTTGTTTTTCCTGCCGTTTTCACGAACGACGCCAAAATTTATGCGTTTGAAATGCGTTTGACATTTGCGCTAGCCGCTGTTTTAATGGCGGCGCTGACAGATGGGCTTTGAGGCATTTGGAAAGTATCTGGCGGATCGCCTGAACGGCGATAAATCTAAGCCGAGCTGCGCAACTTAATTAGTTCATGTCAGACGCTCGGCTACCCCCAATATAAAGACAAAAGCCAGAAACGCTCTTTGGACATTTATTACACCCCGAAATGTTGGACATATGTAAATTTTATTAGACTCGGTTTAGGTTTTTGCTAATATGCAAATGACTCACGTAGTTCGGCTGACCAACAAAAAGCTCAAATAATTTATTTATAACAGGTGAATAAAAATTTTAATAGCCTAATAAAATAAATACGCGATGAAATTAGCATAAAGTTTATGTTTTATAAGTATTAATTTTGGTAGGAAAAAGGAAAACAAATACAATAACCGGATTAAGCGTTTGAAAGTGAAGGTTTCCTGTTCTTAATTATATTTATGCGTTTTTGCCAATTTCATTATATTAAATATTTTTTATTTATTTTTCGTTTGATTTATTTGTTTGTTTTCAGTAGTTAAGCTAATTCGCGATATTTATTACCAGCATCCATTACCCAGAAAACCATTTAGTTATGTCGTATCTCATTCTTCTTGCGGTTGGTAGTAAAAAACAGTGCCAAAACCACAAATTCCCAGACTCTTCACTTACTTGTGCAATTTATTCATGGCTTTTGCGGTTATGGCTTTTGCCCAACTTTAGGTTTGGGCAATAAAATAAATTGGGCCCAAGAATAAACAAAACACAATGTTGTGTTGCAACTATTTGAGTTAATTATTTTCCCTACTACGAACAAAACTATTTCAATGCCAAACGGAAAGCGAAAAGAATTTAACAAATACGCAAGGAAATGTATGAGTTTAACAATGAAATTCTAGTTCAAGAGAAGATAAATTTGTATTTATTTTCCCCGCTAAGTGTCTGACGTTCATTATCGTGTTGACACTTGTCACAAGATTGAACGAGAATAAATATACTTGTTTTCATACGTACTATTTGTGTATTATGGAATGCTTAGCGCAAGATTGATGTGCGGTGGCGTTCCTTGACAACTCGCCTTATAGATGAATATCTATCAGAATGCAAACAAGGCGATGCGATGCATTTGGCTCTGGATTATTGTCGCTGATCTGGATCTCTCTCTCAAAGACCCCTTTCCCCAACTATTCAGCCCCCTCCAATTCAACTCCCGTGTTTACAAAACAATTAATTTTCTTTGGAAAAACAAGAAAAGCGGCGAACGGGGGAAATGAAAAAGATACCGAAACATAACTCAGGCAGCCAGCCGAATGCACTAATCGATGTGCACTTCATTTGTATGGAAACAGAGGCATAAGATACTTGAAGGCATCACTGTTAGATACTTGCCAACAATCTGCGGGGAAAGCACTGCCGCTGGGGAAAAGGAAAAGTACGAGTAGAAAACCTGAGCGCTCAAAGGCAGCGCTTTTGTGTAATCGATTTGAACCGGAAGCAATTGGGTTGCCGCTGCATTTGCCGCAGTCTCATCGGCAGCGGGAAAAATCCTCTCAAGATGCAGCTATTTTAAATATTTAGTGCACGAGACAGGCGAAGGCAAAATCAGTGAATATATACGCACACAAGCTGAATACGATCCAATCACATGCGGCGATGTTAACAACAAAGCAAATATCGGTCGCCAGATCTATTGACAACATATAGAAGGCAGAGATATCAGCGATTTGCACACAATCATCGGGAAAAGAAAAATAAAAAGATAATATTTTTAAGATATTTAACTATTACAATTTTATTACTGAAATGTAAGTAATAACTGAAAAATAAAAAACACAAAGATAAGAAACGTCAAAACGACTTATAAAGTTGTGAGCTGTGCAAAAATTTATTTTATAGTTTAATACTCCAAGAAAGAAATTTTTAAGAAATGTTGAATGTTTCAATTCTCGGTAATTTGATTTTAAAATTCTGTAAACCTGCAAACTTTTAGCGGAAATGTTTTAAATAATTTAATTTTAAAATTCTTCATAATTAAAATTCCATCTTTCAACATCTCAATCTTAGCGGAAGTACCTAAGGAATTCTAGTCAGTATCGGCCACTTTCACACCCATGTATCTCACTTAAAATTGTAGTTCTTAACCAACACACTAGCCCAGTGGCAGACTCATCACCCACACAATTTCGCACATTTATTGTAGTCTAATTAAAAGTCACGCACTTTACGTGCGAAAATTAAAAGGAAAGACGTCGCTTAAAAATAAAATCAACACAAGACGACGAAAATCAAAGACAACGCGACGTATTAGTAATGTGACAAACAGACAGCCAAACAAAAGCAACAATTGCGTCTAGGATATTTTTAAAATGCGTCAAACAACCAAAAAAAAAAAGAAGAAAAAAAGCAAATCGCCAAAACCAAAAAAAAGGCAACAACAAACCAGAGTAAAATACGCGACGATTTTCTCGTTTTCATTTCGGTTTTTTGTTGCTCACCTTTTTTAACTGAGGGGTGTACCTAAAGTTGTTGCCATGTGCGATCGTGTGTGTGTGTCTCTAAATGTATGCCGCACATTATGTGGTCTAGTGTTCACGCTTCATTAAAACAAACGCTGCATTTTTACTGAGTTTCCCGCATTTTTCTTTCTTCTGTACCCGGCTTCAGTTTATTTTATTTCCCTTTTTTCGCTGTTATGGTCGACATTTCATTCCGAGTATTATGCGCCACTTTTGGCCAAAAGGGAAAACAAAGCGCACAACTATTTACGCATGGCCGTAAAACTTTTCGCATGCGATAAGCTTTATCTACGAATTATGATCGTTGTATTTCAAACTTCTTGCCTCCTACCACCAACGCCACTGGCCCATCAATCAAGCACAATTTGTAAATGTGTCACAGGCCCAAGCGAAATGTTACCCAACTCACGCGTTTCAGAACTAAACTTGATAATTGGCTGGCTTTATGACATCTCAAGTCCGATGGAAAAACATGCCAGTCTCTGGGGTCCAAAAGGTATAAAATATTCCAAAGCAAACGATTTTTTTACTGCCGAAAATTAGATTTCCATTTCAATTAATTCGGGACTTTCCATACTATTTGTTTAATCATTTCGGCTTTTTCTAAGTGAACATATTAATGGCTTTTTGTTAGGTTTGGCTTTTAACTTATTGAATTATCATTGACGTTGCCAGAAACAGTTTCGTGGGGGGTACTAAACAATTCAATCAATTATTTTCTTTGCCCTTGAGGGGTCTTTATTTTTTAGTTAATGAAATTGTGACGTGAGAACTTGAATGGGAAAAACAATAGACTTTGATCGGGATACAAAAAATGTACGATAGCATTATTAACTTGATTAATTGAAGCCTTTAGAAAATCTATTAAATTGTTCATAAGAAAATGTTTTTCTAGGGCATTTAACTTAGCAAATTTAAGTACGAATTCTTATAGTAAATAAAATCAAAAATATAAAATCCAAAATATTTAACGTTATATTAAGTTATGTAATATTAAAACTATATTCAATCATAAATCAAATTCAATCAAAATTAAAATTCAATTGAAGTACAAATTATTATAATAGGCGAATTTGAAAAATACTAAACATTTTCCTTAGACCCACAATGAATGTCAAAAATGCTCTCGAAAATATCTCAGAAATGCCAAACAGTTAATAGGTTCTATAAATAATCCGGCCGATTTGAGTTAAGCACTCGGTGGTGCCATTAATTATGAAGGATATCACCTTCAGCACCCACTCTCTCTACAATTCATTCAGTTTTATTCTTTATCGCGATCCCCATATTTCGCAGTTTGTCTTTCGGTCGGCTGTCCAAACTATGATCCGCCGTGTGATTAGCAGTTGTTGAACCCGACGCACACATGCCTGCCATTTGAGGCGACAATAACGCAAATTCGCACACACAGATACGCCGCACAAATCAGCAGCAGGAACAACAACTCAGCTTAGATAATAGCGCACAATGTTAGATAATAGTCGACGCCGCCAATTTATAGGACAAAAAACTGCACGCGCAGAGCAGACGTAAAAAAAAGAAAATTATAGGAAAAAAGTTTTGCGAAATGAGATTAAAAGCGCCTGCGTGCGTTTGCAAATAGAGATACGCACAATTCGCAGATACAGATACAACAACAGATACAGATACATCTGCAGACGGCGATAAAGATTCGCAAATGTGGATGCTTTTTGCAAAAACTATAAATAATCCCCCAAGAGTGTGTGATTAAATTTATATAAATTTCGCTTTTATAGAGTAGGTTCTCCTAAGGTCGTTTGCTTTCGCCGGTTTGCAAAAAAATATTTTGCCATTTTTGTTTGTCTTACTTATTGTTTATTTGGGCCAGATTAAGGCGGAAAAGTACTTGGGGAAAAACTTGTTTGCTATTTAGCCGTAAATCACATTTAAACTGTTTATAGCTAAATGCATTCAGATTACGGTTCTAGTAATATATTTCGTAGGTGTGGAAATCTAATCGAATATGAATTAAATTAATGTCAATTAGCATCCGACTAATAGAAAATACGTTTTTATTCCCCGTTTGCTTTAGCTCGCTATTTGTTTGTTTGAAATGCTTTTGATTCGTATTTACACAACTTATTATTTAATTACTTTCCCTCGAGGGACATTTAAATACACTCATTACTCGGCCCGCTGCCAAGTGGAAAATGATTTCAATTTATTTTAAAAGATACCAAATATTTCACCACAATTCCACAAACTCAAGGCACGAATATATTTTAATAAAATGCTTTAGCACAACTGGTACTATTTATGAATTTTAGTATTTCCAAACAACTAATCTAATAATATAGAAAAATATTTTTTTTCTTTCGACCAACTTGAAAACGTTTATTAATTGTTGGCTTAGGAACAGAGGCACTGAAGACGAAAAGCCAGAGAAATATTTAGCAACATTCGAAGAAATATTTCTGGGGAACAACAAACTTACTAAAAAAGAACTTATGTAACAGCATTGAAACGGAAAAATTACGCACCTTATTTTTATGTTTGTTTGCTTTTTTCAGTTTTACGATTCTTTTTTTGGACGCGTTGTATTTTTCGTTGATTTAAAGAGAGTTGCACTTTGCACACTTTAAAACCTATGGCAACAACAATTCAACATTTTCATAAATTTCTTTTTCAAACACAGCACTAACCAAATATATTCTTTTGATATATATTTTCTGCTCTTCGAATTGCTCGTATTTTAAACGATTTTAGCGGCCTTTTCAAATTGTAACGACTCTCTTGGCCAGCAATACTTGGATTTCGAAACGAACTTTTCCGTTTCAAACTTCCAATCCGATGAGATTATTGTTTCGATCTCCTTGGGACACGATTTCACATAAGACCGGAACATCGAGAACGGCAAAAAGACGCGATTACGGACGCGATCACGGTAATGGGCTCGATTGGGATAGATAGATGGTTGGTTGGGATGTGCCAGATGGATCGGGTGTATTTGAAAAACGTATTCGAAAACGCTGCGACTGCGGATAAGCGGACTTCGAGTGCTACTGCGACTGCGGACGCTCCGCTCACTGAGTGTGTTCCCAAAGCGTGCTAGTCAGAGACTGAAACCATGAGCAAAAAGACCCTGTCGATGAGGCGACGCTTCGTGCGTTCCGTTCAGTTCATGCCGAGCACGTTTGCTGTGCTGCGGAGCGAACGAGAGAGAGAGTGCGGCGGGAGGGAGAGAGTGAGTGAGAGCGAGTTGTGGGCGAATCAGGTAAAAGAAAGAATGGTCCACCATACTCGTAGTTAATGGAACTGTATGATGGGGACCGGACTCGATGTTCGGTTTATCCGTGATTCCCAATTCATCCTTCTGATCTGACGAAATTGCGGAACAAGTCAATGAAAGGGTGCTAAATCTATGATTCATCTATTAGCGATACCCCGAATAACATCCAAAATACGAGCATAAAGAGACTCTGTAGAGGACTTGAACTTAGTTCGTTCATTGATAAAATTATGTTATGTTGCTAAGAGTTTTTTCGTTTAACCATTCTTAAATTAATAGTAAAATAATTTTTAACCATTTTAATGCAAGTTCTAAAAATATATACTGATTAGACGTTTAAAATTTTTTTTACTTATGATAAACCAAAATTTTGAAAGTACTTTGAAATAATAAAAAAATAATAATAAAAATAAAAACTAGCTAACGTTAAACTAATTTTGTTTTATTAATGCTTTTTAAAACATTTTATTTTTTGTATGTTTTGAAACTTATTTTTCACCTAATGGTGATTTCTATGCATGTTGTTTTTTACTTTTGAGTCTAAGCACTTTTAATTAGCACAAAATAAAATATAAGAAGACAACACTAGCCAGAAAAGTGTTATTTTTAAATGAACAACAATTATGTAATTTGTAAAAGCATAAAAATAAACCTTGTTTTTGGAAATAAACTTTGTAATAAACATTTGATTATTGGTCAAATATAAAAAATAATTTTTTAGCACAGATATTGCATTATAATAATTCTTGGCAACAAACTGAAACTGCTGTAAAATTAAACTTTTTTTGAAATCAGCCAATAGATGCCAATAAAATCAGCCCTAGAAGGTAGGCTACAAGTTGTATAACATCGGAAAACTGCAATACAATTAAACAATACATTGAAGACTTGTAAATTTTTTTACCAAATTAAAAGAAATATCATTCTAGCCCAACCTAAGTATAACTAAGTATAACTAACTAACCCCCATGATTACTAAAAAAATTAAATATATGCTAATTTTTATTCGGTTATTCCGCGCCCCCAAACCAACAGTCCCAGCGATAGATCCCCCATCACGTGCCATTTTTCAACCTGACAGTGTGAGCGTTGAGATTGCAGTCACTTTTTCCTGATTGTATTTGTGCGGATTGTTTTTGGTGGCTGGGGTGGCGTTTGTGCTTTTTGGCGCGTAGACATTTTCCAGTGTCGTATTTCGCCAGCTAGCTGTTGATTTGCACAAATACCCATTAACTAACGGCCCAAAGTGCAGCGAATAACGTCACAACAATGCCCTGCATTGTGGAGGCAATTCTCGCCGTGAATCAGTCGCGTGGGAGAGGCGAACTCATTTCAAATCGATTATCGGGACATTGATAAGAGCTCTCTAAACTTTGACCAGTTAATTTGCCTATCGCTAAATCTAAATCTAAATCTAAATCTATTTCTGGTCGCCGGAACCTTTAACTAATTTTAGATGTTGACCAAAATTGGCATAAACTTATGCACTCAAAATAAAATTAACCCTAAAGTCAAGGAAATCGCCCTACTTTTGTCTTCAAGACAAGCTCGCCCTAAATTTTAGGGTCACATTTTTCTATATTTTTGATTTTTTTTGACGTCATATTTCTAAATTTTAGGGTAATTTTACTAAATTTAAGGGCAAAAATTTCTAAAAAGTAGGAAATTTTCCTAAAAAATAGAAATTAAAAACAAAACAAAAAAACATGTTCAATCATGATTTTTTTTTGTATATACGTTTATATTATGTACTCCTCCCTATATACATATGCAGGCGTTGTGTGTCTTGTATATTGTGAATGTTAAAGGTTATGTATTTATTATTATGTATTTGCGCTTGGATTTCTTATCTAACCAAAGCCAAATGTGGTTGTAAATGTGGACTACGGGACTGCGGAAGATTGGGAATGTAGAAATTATGATTAGTTAACATTTTATCTTCATGAAAAAAACTTACATTTTTACTTGTCCGTCGGTGAGAATCGAACCCGGGTCTCCCGCGCGAGGAGCGAACGGCCTACATACTGGGCCATTGTAGCACTTAAATTTGCTGTGGCAAACCGAGCATTGTATGTAAAGGGTCAAGCGGAGAACACATTTGAATACTAATTGCATAATTTTGACCATTCGCGTTTTACTCATTTACATACATATATACTTATGTATATATTTATGCTATCGCAATTTATATTATGTGTAGTATATAGTAAATAGCTGAATATAAACCAAATTATTTTCGGTTTACCGCTTGCCATCAATAAAAAAAAGGAATAAAAAAAAGAGTAAAAAAAGAAATTTAAAAAAAAATACAAAAAAAAAAAATACAAAAAAAACTTTAAAAAAAAGTAAAAAATAGTTTGCTCTGGGACTCGAACCAGGGTCGATTCGATTTCTAACCAAGCGCTTTAACCGTCTGCGCTACGAGTACAGCCGCCCGGCAGCTGACAAGTTCTGGCATTGACCATTTTGGTGTGCCAGAGCATGTGAAAACAACTATTTCTATTTTTTAGAAAAACTTTCTACTTTTTAGAAAATGTTTCTATTATTTAGGGTTAGCTTAATTTTAGGGTTAGGGCACTCATTTTTAGAAAAAGTGTTGCCAAAATATTTTATTTTTTTCGTTTGCCTTTCTATTTTTCAGAAAATTATTTCTAATTTTAAGGGCATTTTTTCTATATTTTAGGGTGATTTTAGTTCATGGTAACCATTTTCTACATTTAAGAAATACTTCCTGGATTTAAGGAAAACTTTCTTGACTTAAGAAAAATTTCCTTAGATTTAGAAATAACTTTCTTGTATTTAGAAAAAAGAAATTTTAATGGCGATTTTCTAAAATTTAGGGTTAAATTTATTTTGAGTGTGGCCCCAAAAATACAGCCCACGTCAAAGGAAAGTCAAATCAGCTATGCGCGAATTTCTTTGAATACCATTTATCTTATCTATTTAGATAGAGCTTATAAAAAAAATCACATGGTGCAAAAAAAATATATTTGTTTGTACAATAAACTTGACAGTGTCTGAGGGACTTTAGAAATTGCAGAAATATTCCGGGGGAGTCGCCAACGTCATTCTTGATGACCGCGTCATTAAGTGGGCGTTGCAGGTGGGAAACACAGGTCGTCGGCTACTGATTAGCACAGTCATATAGTAAATACTTGGACTGTATTTCACGATGAAAAGCAAACTTTGTTGATACAAAATTTCAGTTTCGAGAATGCTCGTTTATAAAGTCATAAAATATTATTTGGTAGTGTTAGGGATTTTAAACCATGTTAATCAGATTACCTTTTTAAGAAATTATTTTTCCCAATGCATATTTGTTAAAAATTCATTATCTTTACTACCAATATGGATTTTGTGGTTAAAAAAATTTATGATTTTTTATCAGGTCATATTATTATTTATATTTTACAGGTACAGAATATAAGCACAGAAAATGTAAAGCTTCAATTTTAAATGATTAAAATGTTGTGTTGGTAAAATATTGTATCCCCAAAGTAAGTAAGAATTAAAATTCGTATTGATATAATCTACAAAAATATCACAGTGGTTTAGACCCCGCCTTACCCCTTTTGAGAAAACTTAAAACTTTAAATTTATTTTGAAACGCTTGCTCGTAAGTGGTCTAAGTGATTTCGCCAGGCCACAAAAGCAGGCTGCCCCCAAAACAATTAACTCAATTAAGCGGAATGACAACATTTTGTGTGCCGGAGAATTTGACGCCTGTGAAACAGGGAAGCACATGCCAAATATCCTTATCCCTATAAATAACATAGAGCAGGAAAAACTCCCCCGCAGTTTTCCAAAGCAACCTTTTGAATGTCGATCTGCCCTTTGCTCTTTCTACTTTCCCCATTATCCTTCGGTATGCAGTCAGACAATTAAAATGATTAATTATGCGCAGGAGCAGCGGCAGCAGCAGGACATTTTCGGGCTAATGACTTAATTAACCCGGCAGTCGAGTGTTCCAGCCTAATGTGCTCGCCTCAACGACCTCTGACCCTTTTTCCGCGAAAACCCTACAAGTATAAGTTGCTGGGGGCAAGATGTTAGATTAATTAAAAACCGTGGCCGACCGAAAATGTGGCAAGTGAAGCCCGTTAAGGTGTTTAAATAGCCTAATCTATAGCAGCTGGTTCGGGGTAACCCCCACCGCTCCGGGGATCCTCGAAAACCTGACTTCCAGTCTTTTACACCTTGAGCCGATCGCACGCGTTTTCCGAGCGATTAAAAACGCGCCGGCGATTCGCCTCAAGGCTGGCGGCTTTTCCATGTTCACAGATCACAGACAGAATCGTATTTAGATTGCTATCAGTGAGATATTCAATTACTGAATATATATTGTCATGTCCACTGTCAGCCAACATGATTTCTCAGTGTGGTAGCGAATAAAATCCGAAGTTATTTCGCTGATATGATATGATGATATGAGTATTAATTGATGGCAGATCGCCAATCAAACGCACATTGGGTCAATAAAGTTATTTCGGTGAGGAATTCCGTCACCGCGAAGCATTAACAACCATTAAGCTTCCATTAGTTGTAGGCGACTTATATCGCGAATGAATCGATCTGGACGCAATAATTTATGTTAATAAAATTGTAATAGCCGCCTGTCAGCAAATGGCGACGAACATACAGCCAGCAGCCGACACACAGACTGACAGAAAGTCAATTCAATTCGAATCGAATCGATTCGAATCAATTAAAAACAAATCTAAAACTGATTGTGTCGCCAAAGGCTGTCTTTTGTCTTTAGCCAAGTGACCAGCTACAAGTCGCCTGCTGATACGAAAACATATTAACCCGCAGATATAAAAAAGTCTTATTATGTTAGGGTAGTTATAACGTTTGTCAAATAATTTTTTATTTGTTTAGAAATAGGAAATTCTAGGATTCATTCCCTTTTGAAGAAAATAACCTTGATTTTAGACTCTTTAATTTGAAAAGAGATAGAATTAATTTTTATTAAAAGTGTATGAAAATTAAAAACATCTCGATAATATAGATAACCGATAATGTACATATTTTAGTGTTTGATATTTAACGAAGGAATGAAAAATATCTCCAAATTCAATAATTTACTGGATAGAAAATATTTCATGGATACTAATGGACTCTACAAAAAAGCTATGAACTATAAAAAATTAAAGAAATTGATTGATAAACTCTTTTCCAAGTTGTTAATTGTAAAATAAATAAATAATTAACTATTACATGCTGAGCAATAGATTAATGAACAGATCATGATGGATTTTAAGACTTTTTCTGTCACAATATATCCTAGGAATATGCATATATCTTCCAACGGGTTAAGAGGCCAATGCAAATTGTGATTACTGTGAAATGCTGTCGTCGCCACCAAGTCGATTGGGGGTATAGATTATGGAATGGAGACCTGAGACCGAGAAATGCACCAGCTGGGTGATCGATTATGGTGGAAGTTACGGCGGCGGTCGCTAATCACAATAATTGATTTGTAAATATTTTGATTTAGATTGCAATGCTAATTATGATGGCAGCCACTGCCGCCATAAATTATGAGTGCACTATCCGAGTGGGCCTTGAGTCTCCACGCAGATCTATCGGAACAGAAATTAATCATAGTTCCCGCCGCTCACGGAAATATAGAAATACGCACGGCTCTTTGTTTCGGCAAAAAGTTGTTGGCGTTAAAAAAAATAAAAACACCAGACGTCATTATGTGCCTTCTGTGCCTGTCACTGCCAATTTTCTATCCCATCCTGGTGTTTTTCTACTATCATTTCTTCCTGCCCGTCATGGCAATCGTATCGCAGTTGTGGAGAACTCCTTATTATAGAGAGAATACGTTACAGGACGGAATAAGCGAAGTAAACTCGAAACCAGTTGACCAAAGGAATTGTCCCTTTTGTGGCAGATCTATAATTCTTGGCAGGCGTTGACACTTGTCAGTTCTAAAAAAAATGGTGGGAAACTAATGAAACTAAATTTTAACACTCTCTTTTGGGCTCCTAAACATTTCTTTATTTTGAATCTTACACTTAAATTTTAAAGACAAAATTGTTAGTAAAGCGTTTTATAAAAATGCCAGTCCTGGAATTGTTTACTGTTATGGACAACGTCTATCATGGATTTCGACGTTGCTTTGGACCCGAAAAGTAATTAATTTTGAGTTCAGTTCTTGAGATGTTAAAGTTTTTCCTTCTTATAGACCGACTCGAGGGACCAAGTTGCCAGCAAATAATACGATAAAAAAATTGAGCAAACGCCGTCGCAGGATATTAAATAACAAACGGAGTTCGCGACATTCGCGAAGAAATAATTTTCCGACCTACGAGAAAAGCGAAGAGAGTGTGGCTAACTCACTAGAACTAAAGGAATATTTTACCAGGGGAAAATTTCCTGCCTCAATTACCTTAGGCCGTGAACCAGATATAAACCCTTCGCTAGATCTGCTAAATCGCCGGCGACTCCAAAATCGTCCGCTGATTCTAAATGCCCGCCAGGTTTTTCAAGTTCAGTGGGGATGTTGGTGGCAGAGGAGTTGGCCCACTCTTGTGGCAGCCAGTATGCAGGTAAATAATATCTATATTTTTTACAATATTTTAGGAGCTTTAATCCCAATCATCTTACAGATGAGTTGCGGATCCTCGGTGCTTTGTCATTCGCTGTTGGGTTTGTATGATGACGAGGAATCGGATCCACCAATCGTGGTGCTCATGTGCTACTTCGGGCAGGCTCTTAAAAAAGTGGGTTAACTACCTCTATAAGTCAACTGAAATATTATTCTTAATATCTATTCTATTCTTTAGCTTTGCAAGCAGGCAGATCTGGCCATTTGCAGTAATGGTCATGGGCCCACCTACATAACCACCTCAGCCGCCATGGAGTTGATCGACATTCGCGACTTTTTTCAGCAAATCAACAATGCCCTGGTAGACTATCTCCTCAGGGTCGCTGATTCCGAGATATCTATTGGCGAATAGAATAACTTGGAAATTCCTAAAAAAAAAAAGTTATGATTTGATAGGCACCATAAACTTAAAAAAAATCTGGTTTTGCCTTTATACACTCTTTGAGAAAATATATTTTAGTTATTAAATAATCTAAAGCAAACGAAAAAAACTTATTAGAGATCTTTTTAATCATTAAAAATATTTTAATAATAATTTATATAATTTTATATTTTTAAACCTTATTTTTAACAATAGCTTACTAAATAAAGACAGTCGAATTATCACCAATAAATCTTAATTTCAAAATCAAGATCAAACGCTCTCATTCCATTTCGTTTCAGTGCAGATTTCGCTTTGCCAATGCACTTTGAATTTAGTAGACACTTAGTTAGCAAGGTGTGGCTAGCCACATAAAGAAGTCTGTTCAGGACCTGGCTGATAGATGGAATCACCGGGAAGAACCAGTTACAAGTTATGATCTGCGCGATAGGCACTAAATCCGTACTCTATATTGGAGGCAGGTGCTTGGACTGTTGGTTTTATCCGCCCATCGTATAGTTTCCACTTTTCGATTGTGGTAAGCCAAAGATTCATGAGTCAATTGGATGGCGCCTTCGATCGAGGCAATGAATGTCATCATCAAGTGGCCCGAATCGGTGAAGAATTATGGGGGCGACACATGCAATGGTCGTCGGCGGATCTGAATCTGGCCGGGATCTGGATCGGAATCGAGATCGAGATCGGAATCGCAGTGGTTATGCTCTGCATTCCTTGGCGCGGGTGCTTACCACATGACGATGACAGGCAAATGAATCTCATTTGGTTTGCCAAAATATTTATGCATCGTTCGCATTGACTTTGATTTCGCTGCAGTTTCTTTCGGGCTTTCGGCTTTTGGATTTTGGGCCACGCCCAGAGATTTGGCGAGCTTTATTTATGGGTTCCATGAATCAAAAGAAATCTGTCAAACAAGTTTATGACACTTTTTTGCGCCCACCCCCGTGGCCCCGCCCTCTTGTTTTGGTTTCGGCAAGCCGTTGACATTTTAATTTGGCAGCCATCGATGGCAATTTAATAAATTTGCTGCCTGATTTTAATTGGGTTCGGTTCGGCTGGAGAAGTGTTGAGCAATTGATGGTATCATCTGGTCTGGGCTTCAGTGAAGGGCACCTTGAGCACACGCGGGACCCTGAACTAGGTAATGAATTTTTGGGGTGCTTTGGGGTAGAAGTATTTTTGGAACCAGACTAGGGGTGTTACCTTTAAATCACCGAAAACATAGGACTTTTCTCTACAGAAGTGTACTATAAGAATTAAATTACATACAACTTTGAAGATATCATCTGTAGGTAGAATAAGTAGGGATACTTCATACATAATTTAGATATAGAAAATATAAATTAATTGCCTTGACGAGTTTTATAATCAATGGTATACAATTCTTGAACTAATTTAATAAAATTTCCCATATTAACATGAACTAAGATTTCTACTGTGATAAAAGAAAAAGTTCGATTTTCTAAAGCGTATAGAACCATTAAAGAGATGGTCACTCAGATTTCCTCGATACCTATCCACCTTTTCAGAAAACCAACATTTCCATCTTATCTTACTGATTTCAAATTTCGAAAAGCTTCTTGTCTTTAGGCTGCTGGAGGAGATTCTTCCACCGTCTCTTCCACAATCAGTCAAGCTGTCTCATAAGAATGTCGGAGACACTCAATAGATCGCTTTCTTCCAGAATCTACTTTAATGTGAGCAATTTTTATTGTGCCTGCCAACGAAATCGATATCGATATCGCGGCTATTAACCAAATCAGTGGAACGGCTATCTATCGCCATGCCTGAGAGAAATTTATGTAACTTTGCGGCAATAACAATTAATAAAATTAAAAGAAAGACTCGTTGTGGTCCAAAGTTGGTGGCCAGAGCTCGGGTTACTCTCTAAATCCCCCATCCTCGACACTTTGTTATCAGAACTTAATCAAAGCAGAGACAACAAAAGAGCATTGAGAAGTTCTCTTATAATAAAGGCACTGGGAAAAAGCCTTAGAATCAAGAATTAATATGTAAATTTATAGCATTATTAAAAGAACAATCCTTTAAAACCAGGGACCGTAAATAAAAAAATATATTTTTTGAACTACAATATTTTTAAAAAATAATCTCTAAAATCATAATATTTCCTAAATATTTTAGTTCTTTTTTTGGAAAAAAAAAAACAAATTTTTGTTATCGAAATCTATAAAAGATCCAGTGCCCATTTCCCTTGTTTTTCACTCACTTTATTTTGATTTTCGGTGGGTTAGGAAGCATCTAGCGCCGCTCGTAAAGTTGGCCAAACCGGCCGTTGGCCAACAGATGGTTTACAGACCGTTAACACACAGCCAAGATCTTAAAGAGACAAAGAGAGAGAGAGCCTGATCGAAGATCTAGGCAGATCCCAAGTCTAGACTGGTAATCCTGCGGAGATCTTGTCCGGCGATAAACTTGGATCTCTGTCTGATTAGAGGGGCCTAATGTGACAGCCGCGCGGAGTTCCAGTTCCTCGGGGAGTGTTTTTTGGTCACCTTAACTGTAGTTTGAGTGATGTAATTGGAGCGGCTTCTATTTGTGACCGCTGCCAGTTGGCCAGTTGCCTGGTTGCCTTGTTTCCCGGTTTCCTGGGCTCTCATAAATCACCATGTTGCAGGGGCCTACGAACTTGCTATATGGCATATGGACACAAACCGGATTGGATTGGAAAAGAGCATCCTTGGCCAAGACCAAGACCCCTTGGCACCCTTTTCTTCTTTTCCGGAGGTGAGATTCAAGTGATGCATCAGAAGTTGCGATCCCCATTCCCCCGAAAGTCCCGCATGTGCCATTGAGATTTATGTGTGACAGGCCAGCGCCTCGAGAACGAATTGCGTGTGGTCGCCCCGTCCCCTTAATATTTCTGTATTATTCCATTATTTGGGGTTCTGTTCGCCGTTCTGTTTACTCTTTTTAATTACAACTCAATGAACTTCGAGTGAACCGGCGCAACAGGTGGGCCCCTTTCTCTCACCTGACACAAAGTGTTCTTAAACTGATTGAGCCGCCCATCAAGCATTGACATTGAACTTTTTATATTTGTTCAGCCAGTGATATCATCAACAAGATTCCAGCGAAATCAAAAAACTGATTTCTGATCTGGACCCTCTCTCAGGGATTTTTGTTTTATTTTTTTGGGATGTCGGCTCGTATATCAATTTCAATTTTACCGTTAAATGATGCGGCAAGCCCAAAGAATGCGCTCTGTGGCAACCCAACCCCCTTGAAAATATTACCTAATCGCACGGCCTAAAGACTACAGGCCGAACCCAAATCGGATAGGAATCGAAGGCATTTTTCGAATCACGGAGAAAAATAAACAATGACATAAACTGTTCTTGATTTTTTGATTTTTTTTATTACAAATAAAATATTATGGTTATATTATTATGATTACAAACAACTTAACTATATAATATATTAAATTTAGACATTTTTTAAGATGCTGATATATTTTTTTAAATTTTTCATTGTGCATTTCCAGTTCCTGCGAAAACACTTTAAATGCCAGACTAATTAAGCAGCAAAGGGAAACCACCGCATGAATTATGAAAGAAGCCTGAGGCCTGGCGCTAACTGAAATTAAAAAAAAAAAAAGCAACAGCGTTTTTTTTCGGGACTTGCGGACACTAATTGAAACGACTTTATTACTACCAGAAGAAAGGTGGAACGGCAGAGAAAACCAAATACGCATTGCGATTTAAACGACTTTATTACTACCGAAAAGAAGACCAAAATATTGTGTATTTATTATATCGATCGTTCTGTGGGTTTTCTGGTTTGCCCTTGGGGAATTTTACAAGGCAAGAAACGGCGAAGGCGTCAACACAAACATTTTTATGTGCCAACGGATCTTTTGGACGATCGGATCCTCTTTCGAATCGCTTGGACGACGGTCAGTTCTTTTACAACTTTCGCAGGAAATGGATTGGAAAAGGGAAACACAATGCGCCGCTTAAAATTGAAACTAATAATTTACGAGCTCATAACTGGCGAGTGAACGAAAGCCAGCTGAAAAAGGGGCGACTCTTTGGCGGCCCCAAGATCGAATTAGTGGAGCAAAACCCCAAAGTGTCAACTATCCTGGGTTATGAACTTCACCTGAATCGAACTGAGGAAATGGGTAGAAAGGATAGACTTCGTCTTGGGTTTCGCGCGACAGCGGAAAATCAAGTGAAATTGATATTTTCCGTTTCGAAAAGAATTGGAACTGCCGGGGAAACAGAGAACATTTCTATCGAATTTCCATGGGATGTGGGGGAGGGCAACAGGTTTCGTTAGATCATTTTATCGTCTATCAATGGGGACATTTGTTTTCCCATAAAATATTTCGACATTTTTATTGATTTCTAGTTGCATTTTTGTCATATTTCATTCTTGCCCGTCGCTGCAGCCAAGTGAGTCACTGGAATTCGGGAAGTTTGACGGTCAATAAGTTTATTTGTTTTCGATTTTTGCGTAGACCGAGACGCGTCACAAGCGGACTTTGGGCATGCCCAATAAAAATCCCCAATAGTTTGGGGCCAAATATGTACTTTTGCGTCAAGAGCGAACCGCAGAAATTCACGTCGGCAGGATTTTTAATTAGTTTCTGGAAATGTTTGCCACGGATCTGTGTGAACTTAGGCACGTAGTCCCCCTTTTGAGTGACTCAAAATTGGCAATGGTCAATAATTCCAATCATATTGTCACTTATGCGGAAATAATATTTTCGGGAAAGTCCACTCAGGTGTGTCAGTATCTAGTCATATTTCAATAACCATGCAAATTTATGATACAATTGATTTTCAGATACAAGTAAGGTTATTATATTATCATCATATCTGTATTAAATAGTTTAAAAAAGCTCTGTATTTTTTAATAATACTTTTTAATGCTACAATTTAAATATAAAATTTAAAACGATAATTAAATTATTTTAAGCTGATAGGATCAGTTTTGTTCAATCAATAGAGAGTTAGGCATTCAACTCTATTT